TTGTACTGCTTCCCCATTATATTTATGTTTTTCAATTCCACTGTAATTTATGTATATACTTATGATATAAATAAAAAAAAAAAAATAAAATAAAATAAAATAAAACAAAATAAAAAATATATAAATAAAATAAATAAATATTGAAGTGATAACCGTGGTAACATTATGAGATGTTCTTATTACCACCATGTTATTGTACTATTCCAGATAATACTAAATGTTACATAATACTTCCTTAAAATAAATCTATAGTATATAAGTGGTCCCTCGGTTAACGAGCACAATTCATTCCAGAAGGTTGCTCGTTAACCAAAAAATTCGTTAACCAAAAAATTCGTTAACCAAAACCATTGTTTCAAGGGGTTTTTGGATAATTGGTTCCAGCTCACCGAAAATTACATACAAACTAAAAATAAATGCAGTAAATTACACTTACTTTGAGGTGTGCATGTAGAAGGCTCCTGGTTGATGATGATGGGAATTAGAATGGGGGTGGAGGAGAAGGGAGAAGAGAAGGCATTGGGGTGGAAGAGAAGTCACCCCATGCTGCCATCTCACCTATAAAATTTTAGTTCACTTGGTGTAATTCAAGATTATTTTCTTTAAATCAACACTGCACTGCATTATATATTGTCAATATGTAAAATATATTTCAAAATGACCAATAATTTGACTGGAAACACAGAAAAAAAGCGTTTATGTTGAAGAGTCTGAAGCAAGATGTTACCGCCACTGAAAAGACACAGAGACTGATGCCTGTATAGTGTGTTGACAGGCTGTTTGGCACGCTAAAAACTAGTTTTCCTGTACTAAAACTATGTTAAATAATTGTTAAAATTACTTAAAATTTTAATATAAGACTTTTAAAATTATTGAATAGTACAAACTTCTTGATATTTACTAAAATAGTAAGGAATTTAAGCCCTAGAACCGATTACTGTATTGGCGGACTAATACGACAGCTAGTGTGCAAGCGAAAACATGTTGAGGGGCGCTCGTAAGGAATTCGTTAATCGAGGGAATGCTCGTTAACCGAAGTTAAGAATCTAATGGGAGGTAATTCGTTAACCGAAATTTCGTTAACCGAGGCGCTCGTTAACCGAGGGATCACTTGTATCAGGTGTATACAGGAGAGAACTCAGGTTCTCAACTGGCTCAGCCATGTTAATATTGTTATTATTATCCACTCTGTATCTGTGTTTTTCTGGCTAAATAAACTGTTTCAATTTCAATATGCTGTCAAAAGTCAAGTTTCGACCTAGCCTCGCACAGGGTAAACCAAATTGACCTATTTACACTTATCGTTTTAATATGATGATTCTAGTGGTATGTGCTACGAAAGATACTGACAAGTAGTTGCCAATGACGTGTAGGTTCGTAATGCCATTATCAACAAAGAAGTTGGATGGACAGGATACTAAAGAGAAGAATTTACGTCAGTGAAAACAAGCCTTTTCCAGAAGTCCAGTGCCTAATGCCGACAAACAAGACAAGGCACCTCCCTCAGCCTTCATAGGGTAAGGACGTGTGTAGTCGGCTCTGCCTGCTAACGCGGCCGTGGTCTCTTGACCATGGAGACAGCTGCCAGCCCGGTCTGTCAGGCTCTCCCCTCCCCCATCTCCTCCTGCCCATCTGGATTTATCAACATCTTCACACCAACAGTACAGTGCAAAGATTGACGATCAACCCACAAGTGATATACAAAAGTGGCAATTTTTACTCGAAGGAAAAGCACAAAAACACAGCAATACTGAATGTGGCTTGACCTGACCTCACGGCTTCACCTGACCTATCCTGAAGGATGGAGCACACCTGCATTGCCCCAAGCTACTGTCCTGGCCACGTGGCCACACAACTGCCCAACCGCATCCAGCCCATAGGAGCACGAACTGATTGCTACAAGAACAGCCCAGTCCCAACCATTGAAAAAATTATCACCACCTAATTATTATATATCTTATTTGTATCACTTATATTACGTGTACATAATTTGTAAATCAAGAGACCCATTCCCCAATTATGTACAGTAATTGTATATTATCAGCCTTCCGGCTGCCATGCTCTTTCAATAAACAGTTAATTATTATTATTATTATTATTATTATTATTATTATTAAGTCTGCTAGCACGGTGTTCCTCTGTCGATGATTTCTGATGCCTAAGTCCAACCTCATATCGTCCGTATTAGGACAGCCTTTGTGAAAGCAAAAATCTAGCTACCTCTCATGAGCTTCGCTTTCACTAGGTATTCACTCATTCTTCCGAGTGAAAAAGTAAAAAAAATGTGTATACTTTATTTTCTCATAAATAATAAGTGACTATTTTATTTTCCGTTATGATAACAATCACTTCTTGTTTTATTTCACGTAGTAATACAACTTTCCATACTTTTTTATTGAATTATTCCTACCCTCTAAAAAAAATTATTGTAAGAATGGGTATTATAACTAAATCTTTGGTCAACATTAACCATTGACTGGCACCTGTTCTCCCATGCTATTCTTACTAAGAATTGGTGTGGGAAGGTTAGGATTGTGTGTTTCTCTGGCCTCGAACTTTAGATTAAAAATTACTTTTTATAGTGCATAAAATAAAACATTGTAATACTGATGGAAAAAACGTATTCCTAAATTTAATAATCTCTTCTACTTCCATTACTTTGTAATGCATAAAAAAAAATATGATTATATTATGCAACACGCAACTCAAGAACTCCCCCATCATTCCCCCTCCCCCTCCCCAAACCCTTCCACCCCGGCACACACACTGTTACCACATCGTCAGCTGATTCTACCTCTCTGGTCGTCTGGCTGGGTGTTCAACGTAGAAGAGTCCGCGAGTGTACCTACCTACAGTTGTCCTTGTTTTTATACAAGTAAAACGCACTAACCAAACAGTATAGGAAATAACCAAACAAATTTCAAAGGGTGAAAAACTAATGGATATGAAAATGAATTCAAACAAATTAATATAAATGACGGTCAATTTGTAGTTTCGACCAACCAGGGCTCCTGAGTTGGGTAATGTGTTTTTTCCGGTGGTTAAGACAATTTTAAGACACTTTCCTGCTATGACGCTTCTTTCGCAAATGACTTAAATATACCAGGGGACCCAGGTGGCCTGAGCTCCCTGGATAGGTTAGGTAATTTTAAGTCATTTGCGAGGAAAACTCCAAAGAAGAAAAGTGTCTTAAAATTTTCTAAGCCACCGGAAAACACATTGCTCAACTCGAGAGCCTTGGTTGGTCGAAACTACAAATTGACCTAAATGACTGCTTATGGAAACGCTACATAAGTTTGAGTTCCACTTAATTAAATGACATAAGACTGTACAGCCACCCACAAAAATCCGGTAACCTGCTTCATTATCCTCGATCTCAAACAGAGCCTTCGAACTACGGCCGACTGTCTGCCCTTTACGAGGTTTCAAACTAAAGGGGCTTTGATATTGTCTACGGTTAGCCACAGATGGCACTCCCTGTGTATGCAATGACGTCAAAAGCAACACAAAGCCTAGTATGACTACATAGTGCAATAATAGTATGGATAATATCCTCCCCGCCCCTCAGACGGGGGCTACGCGATGGAAAAAACGAACAATTTACACCAATGGAATGCAAGTATAACTACAGAGAAATCATGGTAAGTTTTTACTTTCGGACATGAGTCCTTAGTGGTTGACCAAGAAGTTTTTCCAGTGTATTTTGAGCGAATCCGACCTTTACTTTTGTTGGAAATTTCTCGTTTTTGTCCCACCCTAATCCCCCAACAATAATGGAGGAGAGCCTGGGAAATCGGGGTTTTTGGGTGGGGGAGAACACGAAAACGAGTCATCTAACTTAACCTAACAATTTAACGTACTGTAACCCAACGTAACCTTGCCAAACCCCTAGCAGGGGGCTCCGCCCCCGGACCCCCGGTAGGCCTAGCTTAAACTAACTTAACCTAACCTCTCCAACCAAATGTAGCCTAATGTGGTTGGTCGAAAAAAATTCGCGTGATGAGATCGATACATCATTGGTCACGACTGGATGACGTCAGTCAACATTGCGCATGAGTGAAGTAAACACTCATAATTAACTCTGTTTCACGCAGATAACATCCCTTCAGACGAAGACTGAAAAGTACGTAAAATCAATTCAATTGAATTGCGTCGGTATTTTCCATTTCCGAATGGTAAGAATGGGGTTAACATGCTCAGAATAGGGAGATCTAAATGTTTCAGAAGTTTATAACTTGGCGCGCCATGTCCGAAAGTAAAATAAAACCGAAATCGTAAACAATTCTTAAGAAAGTAAAGGACACAGAAGATGATTAACACACTGTTGACAAATAATGACCAACAGTACTGGCTCCAGAATGTATCTGAAGCTGTGCCAATGTTGATTCAGTCTAGTCTTGAACAAGCTTACACTCGATGACGTCATAACACTGGCAGATTGTTCCAAGAGTTCACAACACTCACCCAAAAAGGTTTGTCTTGGTTGTTTTCTGAAGGCTTTACACTGGTCAGCAACATACTCAGTAAATCGGTCATAAGCTCAGCAACAGACACAGAGAGGAAAGTTAAGGGACTCATAACCAACGTCCATAATCTCGGGAGATGTAGTTTGTAAGCTGAACCACAGATGGCGTTATACTGACACAAGGTTTCAAACAGCTTCGTTTTTGGAAAGCACAGGAAGGTAACCGGACTTTTGTGGCCGACTATACATTTTAAATCGAGAAAGTCACGAAGTCAAGATTTGAATATTTTGATTGAGACTTCATCTGATACACGGGGATAACCAGTCTAAAAAAAATGCTTAGTGTCTTTAGGAATATACTGGAATAACACCATAAGGACTACATTGAGTTTCATATTAATTACTGTACACCTCCAATTGATGCGAGGAGTTCAAAGGGTGGAAAATTATATGTGGGGTGGTGAGGAGCGGAGAGTGATTGTTGGAGAATAATGGATGGAGAGTGACGGTGAAGAATGGTGGTGAATGCTGACATTTGGGTCTCACGCGCAGTCCGGTATATAAAGAGCGCGCTGTACTCCTGGCATTCAGTTCCAACTGCAAACCCAAAGTTTCATCATGAGGATTATTGTAAGTTGAGGAGCCTTCTGGAGTTAGATGTACAGTGGGGTGATGGTGTAGTGGTGCTTGTGTGGCTCTTATATAATGAAAATGCGCCATTGTCATAACGATGACGTGGTACTAATGTGTAGTGGCAAGTTGGTTCGTGTGGCCAACGAAAAATATGGTATAGTAAAACCTACACGCCACTAATTCTACGTACGAAACCTCAACGGAAATACTTTGTTGTTTATTTTCACTAATCTATATATACAATATATATATATATATATATAATCAAAACCTCAACCCGCCAGGATTCGAACCCACGGCCCACAAGCCTATGGTAAAACGTTACTCTGACCACCTACGTCATACAGGTGGTCCTCATTAGAGGTTCACGGCGCCATAAGCTCGTTGAACAGGCTTTGTGTGAAATATAACAAAGTCTTGGATTGCTTTCAGTATCCTGGTGGTCCAGTGGTTAGCGTTCCCCGGTCACAATCATGGGCTTGTGGGCTGTGGGTTCGAATCCTGGCGGGTTGAGGTGTTGATTGTATGTAGAAGTCCACGTGCTTTATTGGGCTAATGAAATATATATATATATATATATTAATGATAATAAATAAGCGTGAGGAATCACCTTAAATAAGTTTGTCACACTACAAGAGAAAATGTCGAAATCCTTCAATATGTTTTCCTTGGCCTGACATAAATTATAACATTAATTATCTGAAACCATTGGTTGGACAGGCGAATCCAAGCTCGTGACGCGTTAGCAGTCTAGTTATCACACATCAAAAAATTCACAGCTGTTTTCGTTCCTGAAGTGAGAACTCGCATGAATTTAAATCAGTAAGAGTTGAGAAATAACAAGTGGACTTATAAAGAACACTGCTTCATGCGAGTTTTTTCTTTGGAAATTTCTCTAGTTCAGAAGCAGGTTTCCTCAGTTGTGGATGTTTCCCTCAGATGTAGCCTTCAGTATATTAGTGATTTCTTCAGACTAGTATCCTGTGGCGTCGGTTGTATATTCCCGAGGTGGTAGGTGATTGCATTAGTAAAAGTAACGGTAAAGTTCTGGCAGTGGCAAGGCTCCGTTGTCCCGTTATTGTTAAAAGCTGTAAAAGTGGTGGGTAAGTGCCATCGTGGAAGGGTCCTCCAGTAGGAGTTTGTGCCAGTAGTATAAGATGATTAACAAGGCTGCTTGCTTTCCCAGGTGTGTGTGCTTCTGGCAGCTGCTGGCATGGCTGCTGCACATCCCCAAATTACTGCGACTAAAGATCCTGCCATCCTCTCTGCTGATCTCGGCCTTGGTACCTCTGCTCCTGCGTCTTCTGCTACTGCGCCTGCCACGGGCGGTGTATCTCCTCAGGCTACCGGACGGCAAACCTTGGGTCCAAATTTCTTCGGTCCTGGCCTCAATAATCGAATGGCGATCCCCATTAACCCTTTGGTGGTACAGAACGCCAACAAAGTGCTCTCCACGCGCACCGGCCTGCGGGTGGTAAGTCCTGACCTCTTCCTTTACATTCACTGAACCTGCAGTTTTTAGTTCTGAGTATCAGTGCTCAAGGAAGAACACTATTGTTTTTGCTCTTCAGTCCATTGCTTGTTTTCCCTGGCTAGTTGCATATTCACATATTCACAAAAAATACTAATATTTATTTCACGGTTTTCAGAATACTCTCATTTACCTCTTGAAGGAAAATTTCTTAGTGAACTATTTTGTCGTTTTCACCCAAATAATGTAGAAGTCACATACAAAAATATTTTCACTTGCAGTTCGTCGACATCGATGGCTCGGCGCACTTTACTGACCAATTCGGCCGAGAGACTGAAGTCATCGATGCCTTCGGTCGTGACTTATCCGAACTCTTGGACTTTCAAGAGCAACAGGAGCTTTTATTCAGTAACCGAAACAAACAGCAGCAGCTTATCCAAAGGGGTCGAGAGAGGGAACTTGAGCTCCGTCAAAAGCAGCTGGAACTGCAGCTTCTTCAGGAGTTCCACACTAATCCTATTTCTTTCAACCCGGTTGGTGGCGCTGGTGGTACGGCTGGGATACAACCAGGCAACAGATTCAGTGTGTAAAGTGTACTCACTACCCTGACCCTCTCTCACGAAAGCTGTAACTATTCTCCAAGATCAACTCTACCCTTCTTCCTTAGTAGTGTACACTGAAAGGCCCTCCACTTCCCTAAATACCAATTCTTGATCATTTATTTCTTGATCCTCCTCATTACCTTATCCTGACCGCTTACCACTTGATCCTCTCTCTGGTTTCTGATTATGCCTACCATACAACTTAATCAACTTATCACCTGATCCTCACGATTATCTGATCTTGCTAATCTACCATATAATCAACCCAGTCATCTGATTTCTTCAGACTACTACTTGAGTCTTCCAACCATTGATCCCTCCTGCCTATTATCTATTTCTGAACACTTCCCCTGCCAACAAAACCATCTCCCTCCCATCCCTGTGCCATGTCTTATCGAGATTTGTACGAACTCTCACCACTATCAGACGACACATTATTTGCTACTGTTAGTCCCACACCATAACATATTTGAAGCATAAACTGTACTTGCATTTAAAGTAACGATATTTTAGCATTTGTATAAATTATTTCGTAATAAAAATGCATGTACTACAAATATTTATTGTTTATGTCCCCTTACGAAAGAAAAAGTTGATAAAGTGTAGTTTTATCCTTACATCACTAAAAAGTGTACAATATTGAAGTTCGTGCCATAAATATATAATTATTTTATATTGTCAATGTTGAAGCATGTATACAACTGCTCATGAACAACACGGAGAGGTAACGGCATATCATAGTTTCTCTATATTAATGTTAAAACTGAATAAACTTTCGTTAACTTTGATTTTCGCTTTTAAACTTTTATTCACAGATGAAGAGAGACCCAGTTTTCTGATGTCTCGAATTAAGCTAATAAATTTACAGCCAATTCAAAAAGTATCGAGATCTCAGGTTCCGGTGGAATAGAAAACGAGCGATAACCTCAGACGCAGCAACCATAGTAGTGCCAAGAGGTTGAGGTCTTAGATTAGTTCGGCAATGATTTGACGGAATTCTTGGAAGTTCATGAGCAGCAGGAGCGTCTCTTCGATACCCACCACAACACCCACGAGCTTATGCAGATGGCTTGAGAGAGGGAATTTGAGCGTCGTCAAAAACTGTTGGAACTACAGCTTCTTCGGGAGTTTCAGACCAACCACGAAGCTTTCAACCCGGTCGGTGAACTGGGAGCGTCCGGCGCTGGTGTTGGTGGTAATGCTCAAACACATTCAGGCCACATTTTGGAAAGTTTACTCACGGCCCTGACTCTTCCTCACTATAGCTGTAACTATTCCCCACAAGTTCATCACTATCTCTCCTGTGGTACCGTACACAGAATGACCTCCCACTTTCCTAAATATCTAATCTTGACCATTTATTGCTTGATCCTCCTCATCACCTTATCCTGACTACCTACCACTTGATCCTCTACACATTCTGATCATGTCAACCGTCACGAGAATTAAAGTATGATGCGGGAGAATGATGAGTCCTTGAGTACAATAATTCCAGGATCTCTGGCACAAATCTCCCAAAGTAACGTGAATGTGGTGAGGCGCCAGTTACAGACTGCCACAAGCCAGACACCCACTCGGCCAGGTCAGTTCCTTCTCCTGTTAATACAAACAACTGTTTTTCCAAATCATAATTACAAACTCCACATGATATTTCATGATAATGAACACACTTAAAAGAATATAAGGAGAACTAACCCTACTGCTGACATTAAATATAAATCTGATTAAATAATAAAAATAATAATTTGAACCACCCTATTACCGAAAGTCAACTCCTCGTTATCCCTAAATTTCCGACCTGAACCAACACCAGTAAACACGGGCTTTTAACTCACAATAACGATAAATATCTACATTGATCACAAAAGGAATTAAGACATATCCTGACTACCACAAACATTTGACATCAACCATACTACTTGATCCAAATAACCTGATCCTTACTGCCTGCCTCATCATTCTTTCAGTGAACTTGATCCTGATCATCCGAGTCTACCATTTGATTCCCCTAGTCATCTCCTGTGACTACCAGTTGATCCTTCCACTCAATTCATCCCTCCTGCCTATTTTCTATTCCTCAACCTTCCCCTGCCCATCCCTGTGTGTTGTCTTACTGCCATGTTTGGCACCAACTCTCACCACTACCACAAGCTACACATGTTATTTGATATTGAAATCCCACACCATAGCACACTTAGAGTATATACTGGTAGTGTATTTAAAATCACGAAACTTAACCACTTGTGTAAATTATTTCATGAAAAAAAGAATATTTAAATATTATTTTTTCTGTCTCCTTGTGTCACCTCCTTGATGTTGAAATGTTGGGAATGCAAAATGGGGTCAGAAAGGGAAGTTTTATCCATACGTCAATGAGATATTTACAATATTGGAGTCAACGCCATAAATACATAAATGAATCATGTTGCCACGCTAAGATTATACATACATACATACATAGGTAGAGATTTATGCAGTAAAATAGTCATACAAGCTTACATTGGTTCAGCCTGCACAGTCCCCTTCTCTCGTGCGTTTACAGGGGCTCCTCATATAAACATTCCACAAATTTTTATCTTTGAGATATTTGTTTTAAAATCGTTTTTATTTGATTCTATAGTATTTTTACTATTGCGAGTTTCCTTCTGTTGAATGTAAACAAACACAGGGCTGCCACACCGCACAAAACCTGACAAGCCCCTATAAAAGCACTAGTGAAGGGGACTGTACAGTCACCCAAAAAAGTCCTGTCGCGAACCATGAACCCCGAGATTCAGACTCTTGAATCCGAAGCATTTATGGACAGAATAATGTATCAGTGTTTACTGCTTCGGGTTCACGAGTCTGAATCGTGGTTCGCGACAGGACTTTTTTGGGTGACTGTACATAAACAATGAGAGGTATACAATATTCATAGACAGTGAAGGCATGCAGACAATGTACAGTCACCCAAAAAAGTCCTGTCCCGAACCACGATTCTGACTCGTGAACCCGGAGCAGTAGACACTGTTATTCTGTCCAAAATGCTTCGGATTCAAGAGTCTGAATCTCGGGGTTCATGGTTCGCGACAGGACTTTTTTGGGTGACTGTACCTAGACAGTGCCGTCGATTCGACCATGGATAGACAACAAAGCCATCAGAAGCTTATCTACAGTATAGGGTTCGCTGCTCAGGCGGATACCGATCAATAATATAACAAGTATCACACTGCATTTAGACTATCTGAGAATGATGGATCACTTCCACCATTCAATATACAGTGATTAGTAATATTCAAAATCACTCTCTTCTCTTGCTGTAAATTCATTAGCTGTCTACTTTTTAGCTCTAATTTTGAATTGTTTGACACTATCGCTGGTTTCAGTGTAGTTAGGCATTTTGTCCAGTATTTTACAGCTGAAAGAAGAAAGACGGAGGTGACAACATATAATTTATTGGAATATTAATGTGAAGACTGAATAAACTATGGTTTACTCATTTTTTAAACTCTTATTCCCAGAAGAAGTGAGACATAAATAAACTAGTGTATCTTGTAGTAATATGTATAGTACTGTACGTATAAAACTAAGATCATTCTGAGGCAAATCTCTTTTTAAAGCTTATCATCGGGAATTTATATCCATTATATTTTTCATAAATAGTAATGTTTAAGTTGACACTGAACATCAGCTGTAGTGTAGTGTATATGTTACAGGTATTTGTAAAATCAGGTATTTTATCATATTCCTGAAGACTTTGGACATTTTATAAAAGTCTGGCCTTTCAGGCATTTTACAAAATATAAATTGAAGTACGCATTGAATATGATCTATTTGTTAAAAAAAATTTAGTTTTGAAAAAAAAAACATTAAATTTAATTTCAGAATTAATTTTGCTTATTTTTTTAATGGAATATTAGAAACAAATAAAAAAATAATAGCACCGTGGAATAACAAGTTATAAGGTAACAAAGGTAAATTTTAAGAAAATCAGATCAATCTAAAAAAAGTTAAATCAAGTTTGGGTAGCATTAACTATTACATAGTTGCTCTGACTGTTGACAAAGACAATATTTAGTAGAGCAACTTGTCTTAATGTCCAATGTAAAATTACAATCTGAATATCACTGACCTGAACTAAAAGACTAATACCATAGCTTTACTGGATGATTATTATTATTTGTATTTTATATTTTTTAATTTGTTTCATTGAGGGACAAGAAGGAGTTACTTTTCAGCTTAAGTATAGATACATATAAGGACCTCGCCTCCATGGACAGTTAGTAGACCTTTGTTTTATTTTTAGTTATTAGTGCCATAATGGATCTTGAAATGGCATTCTTCGCAAAACTCTTTGAAAAGAGTAACGACTTCCTTGGTAATGTTTGCATATTTCTTGTTTATCTCTTTTAACATTTTGTCTCTTCCCCCATGTCCTGTAATAATATGAGCTTGCTGGACAACCTTGAAAACATCTTCGGCACAAACAAAGAAGATGATAGGTTCATCCTCACTCTTCCGTTTCTTTATAAGTACTTCAATCTCACCCCATCTGAGCACCTCAAACCTGCAATAAGAGGAATATATTTCAGTAGATCATAATCATCTTCCTCCTTATCCAGTGCCTCCTCCTTTTCAACATAATTTATTTATCATCAAATCTTAAATTTCTTTATCATCCAACATCATCTGAACAATGACAAAGTTGGTACATATAGGGATGAAAGTGTTAGGGATAGAGATAAGTAAAAACGTTACCTTTTGTGGTAGTAGTAGTCTCTCATAGATGTCTTCTTCTGGAGTCCTTTTAATACACAAACAACCTCCTGATACTTTTGTCTTGGCCATATCATCTTCTTGTTCTGGTTTTCTTTTAAAATTTGAAGTAGTTTTCCTGTGAAATTTTGTTCCATATTTGACGGGAGTCTGGCACAATCTGCAACCATAATAAGATTTATCATCGTGTATGATATTATAGGTTGATATTGATGACAGGCATTTTGTTAATTACAGGGGTAATATTCCTATTTTTTATCTTGTCTCATAATGCTGGGCATTTTATAAAATAACCAAAATGCTTGATATTACAAAAACCTGTAACAATTATATGATATTTTTAAAATATCATTATGGAAAACACTGTAATATTATTTTGGTCTTGTGTGTAAGTATCATTTTAGTTTATTTCATTATTAGGATAAAACCACCATGTTATATTATGTTCATTGTTGTTTCCTCTTTGAATTGTTACAACATTTGCTTTTGTGTTATTTCAGATATGTGGTGAAATGAGTCAAGTATAGCTTGGATGTAGCAACCAAGTGTTTTATTTACCACAATATATATATATATATATATATATATATATATATATATATATATATATATATATATATATATATATATATATATATATATATATATATATATATATATATACACTAGAAAAAAAATAGTTAAACTAAAATGTCTCTTTCTCGGTGCCGCCGAAAGCTGGTCAAAGCCCCGGTGAAAGATAAATTTATGGCCCATTAGTTACAGTATATTTAATGTTTATATCCCTGTTTTCCCGGGCCCCAAGAAGCCCTGGCCCCAGGGATTTATCCCGGCTTCCCCGCCCTCTCGGTGACCCTGCACTTTCTCTGTCAAATCAGTAAAAAGACGAGTTACGAGGTATCAGTCAACCAATAACGTTTATTTGTCTGTTGGCCGATAAACTGATTATCAACTTCTCACGTGAGATAGAAAAGTGAAAGTGGGTCCTATTGCCATGACTGCCCGTAGGGACAGTGTTGATACAGCACACTGTATACTAAGCCTTCGGTACACAAGGAGGCAGTATGGCCGGTACTGCTCTCGACCGCCTTTACTTCACCAAACTGTAAACTTAGGTATCAATTTACAGCTGGATGAAATGTGAGCGCCCAGGAATCGAACTCCGAGCCCTGGAGCAGGAGGCTACTAGCTCTGTATCACCTCGTACGACGCGCTCCGCGAAAGACTAATCCACTATAAGCATGACAAAATCTCGAGTTTCATGGAGCCCCCACCAAACTACGACCACATATGAAATGTTCTTCCAAACATTAAAGTGAACCGTGTATCTATGATCGAGAATCGCTTGACTGTGAATTGCGTCCTTACACCTGACTGACTCGGCTATGAGCTCTACATGATCCCCCTGTCATGAAGTTGCAAGTTAATGGAACTTCTCTTTGTTAATATTTTTCACAAATCTTCACACGAATATTCTGTAATGACATGTATACTATAACTCCGGCTTAGTAATGAAATTGATGGGGAAAACGAACTACCTTACAGTGTTGTGCAGTAGTGTCTTTCTTCTACAATAGGGCTCAGTGTTTGAGAATAGTGTAGTGGACGTCTCCCCTACAACTGCGTATCGCATTCCAATGTCACCGTATCCTAGCAACCGAACCAAAAGACCGGCGACTTCTCGGGTTTTCCCAACATGACTCATAGCGGCTGCTGGGTATATAAGCTCTGTCTCTCCATTGAGATTCATTCTCGCCTCACTTCTACAACACGCAACACCTCCTCTTCCGCCGGTGCCTGGCGACCCTCGCCTCTCCTCCGCCTGCCTGGCGGTCCTCGCTCCCGCCAGCGAGCATGGCGACCCACCAGCTGTCCTTCTCTGAGCTTCCTCACCAACCAGCTTTCTCATTCTGGTCTCTCTTCTTGAACAAGCAACACCTCCTCCAGCAAGCTCCATGCTGTCAGCATTCATTCAACCAGGAGGCCAGCAACAGGCAACATCTCTAACGAAGCTCCTGCACATCTACCTCCTTCAACACGCTACTCACCGAACGTATCTACTGAGCAGCTCCTCACCACACGGCACCTCCAGCACCAGACTGTCTGTCATGTAACTTATATTATACAAGAAAACCACCTTAGAGTTTTCATCCATCCTGAGTGCTAGACAACATTAATATCTCGAAACCCCTACAATAGGAACGGGCGATTCTTCTTAAAACCCCACTGACTTGAGCCGCGTTAATCCGAAAGCGTAGGTAAATATATTTTTATTTTATGTAATCACTTCCTGGTGTGATCTACTGTCAGCCTTGGAAGCTTAATTTAAGATCTCATCGGCGTCAGATATATTAGATAACCATCTTATAATAAAATCATACCTTTAGCTAATATCTTACTTCATTTCATCGTATTACTGGTGAAAGACCAATAAACAAGAGAGATCCTTTATATTCTTCTGAGACTGTTACAACTATTACTACTATTTAAACTTTTCTGTTTTAATTAATGTGATTAATGCGACTAAAAATAAAAAAAATGCAAATGAAATACACAGATGGTACAAGACGCCTGGTGCACCAATGTTCTATGTTCTCATCGCATCTTTGTCCTTAAAAGAAACTCATTAGTGTAAACGATTAGCTAAAATATATGGGAATGATTTTTCTTAGTCTAACGCAGCGGTTCTTAACCAGGGGGGCACGCTCCCCCTAAGGGGTCCTAAGTAATTTCCAGAGGGGGGAGGGGCGCACCTAGAGTAAAAATAAGGGATGGCCTTAACAGGGGCGCACCTAGAGTAAAAATAAGGGATGGCCTTAACAGCTGTGTGTATGTCCTTATTGGGATTTTCACTCGCTCCCCACAGATACTTCAAAATGTTGTAAATGGTAACTACGTCAATCAAAATGTAATTTTCCACAAAAAGTGACTGAATTAAGGTAGTAATAATGTCGGGAAGTGCACGACAAGCTGTTCGGATTCCGACGATGTTTGAATCCACGTATCTTTATGAGGCTGCATTTTCTGCAGTGGTTGCTGTCAAGACCAAATACAGGAACAAGCTGAACGTTGAAGGGGACTTGCGCTGTGCTCTCTCTGGCATGCGGCCACATATTCGGTATCTGGTAGCTCAGAAGCAGTGTCAAAAATCTTACTAAATGTGTTCTCACTAAATATGTTGTGTATTTGCGAGTTGCCTATACAGACTCTATTGAATAATTAAAGTTATTAAAGTAACGAATAAAATACTAGTTTCTCAATTTTCCTATTTAATTCAAGAGGAAATTGATTTAGAATTTTTAGATTTAGAATTTTATATGAAGGAAGGAGGTGGGCGTGGAGATAAGGACCAACTGCTACAGGGGGCGCGACCCTAAAAAGGTTAGGAACCGCTGGTCTAACGAAACAATACTGAAAGAATTAACAAGGTTATGGAGAAAGGATAAAGCGTGGCGTCGTTGGTTGAGAACTAAACCATCCCTCGAGGGGGTCAGACGAACCTCTGAGAAGGATGGACACACCAACCTTCGGGCGACAAAGCCCTGCAAACCTCTAGCATTTCTAATAACTTCTGTCAACTAAAAAGTATACCAATTCAATTTATATTATTAGTGCATCTCAATTCTCAAGACTTCGAAGTCATCATGATATTAGACTATCTATACCTGACTGTTGTCACTGGTGCTAATATGCAGGTGCAATTCAGTTGGGACAATGTTTTGGCCAATACAACTTATGATGGTGTAAGTAGACTCAAGTTATAACATGTATTGAAACTGCTTACGACATTGCCAGTCATAATTAACGGTTAATAACACAGTTTAAAGCTTATAATCCCTTTGTTATTCACTTATACCAGGATATGTCAGTGAATTAGTGCACAGACTACTCTCATTATATTAAACAGCAATCACATGTAGTTGCGATGGAGTACGGTTTCATATATTTACCTTTACGTATTGCCACGAGATCTGCAGTCCTACCACCAAGGTGTATGCATAAATCTCTATTCCAAAATTCCTCACAGGAAGTTTCTCTATTCCTCAGTTAAAGAAGTTTCCCTCAGATGTATGTAGTTTTCTGCAGTTTCTGCCTTCAGTATATTTGTGGTTTCTTCAGACTGGTATCTTGTGGCGTCGGTTGTATATTCCCGAGGTGGTAGGTGATTGCTTTAGTAAAAGTAACAGTAAGGTTCTGTCAGTGGCAAGGCTCCGTTGTCCTGTTATTGATAAAAGCTATAGAAGTGGTGGGTAGATGCCATCGTGGAAGGGTCCTCCAGTAGGAGTTTGTGTCAGTAGTATAAGATGATTAACAAGGCTGCTTGCTTTCCCAGGTGTGTGTGCTTCTGGCACACACACTACTGGCACATATATTTCACACTACTCTACTCGAATATTCATAATTTTGTACGAGTTTAGTAATGATACTGAGAAAAAACAATTAGCTTACAGTGTAGTTCAGTAGTGTCTTTAGTCTACGATATGACTCAGTGCTTTAGATAAGGAACGAATGATTCATATAAAATCCCACTGACGTGAACCGCGTTAACCAGAAAGCGGGACGGTAGGTATTGCTTTAATTATATATGGGTAATCACTTCCCGTTTGGTCTACGACTAGTCTTGGAAGCTTAATTAAGCTTTCGTCGACGTCAGGTAGAGTAGATAACCATCTTATAAGAAAATCTTTCCTTCAGTTAATATCTTATTTCATTATTTCACATTTCTGTTGACAAAACCACTAGAGAGAGATCGTTCACATTCTTTTACAGCTGCAATTATTACTACGACTGGTACTCTTTTTACTATTACTGTACTATTGGTACCAAAAACCTTTACTAAACAAATTGTGAATAAAATGCGCCGATGCCAAGAGACAACTCATGCACTTATAATATGAGGTCGTTATTAAAAACTCATTGGTGTTAACTATTAGTTAAAATATATGGAACTGAGTTTACTTTATCCAACAAAAATAATAAAAGACTTAGCAAAGTAATGGAGGAAGGATAAGGTAATAGTGTTGACATTTATTAACGACTTTTATGTCTTTCTGATGGAAATTATGTCATGAATAAACTTGTCATAAAAAGCCAAAATAACTACACGCGTTTGTTTTAGATATTGTTAATCAATGTAGCCATACCACTTAAAGTTCACTGGCTGACTGTGTAGGTGTCACCGGGTGTGGTACAGCAGCACTCGCCTTTTGTGCTCAAGGTTCCTCGTGTGCATCCGGGGCATCATCAGTCCCATCAGCTGTGACTGTGTACTTGACTTTAACCACCGGGAAAATTAGGGCAGTCAGTGTGCAATACCATCTACATTACCTCCCTGTGTACAAAAAAAATAATTTGCGATTTGGTTAATGAGTTTGGGTTGTAAAAGTGTGAGGACTCAGGATAATTAGATAGATAGATTGATAGATAGATAGATAGATAGATAGATAGATAGATAGATAAAATCACACATTTACAACCCAACTCATTAACCAAATACTCTGTGGAGAATAACCTAAACAAAGGCGTTTCAGAAAACTGAGCCAACTTAACGGAAATTAAACTGAATGAAATAGATGATCATTAACGGCTACTTTTAAAAATGTTACAGTAGTTTGAATTTAATAAGATTAAAAAACATAAATATATGACAAAACTGTACATTATTTCTGTTAACATCCGGATATTTTAATTGAAACGTCATCAAAACCAACGAATCCCAAAAAAAAAATTAAGCTAACAATGTTTTGAAACGTTTAATATTTCAGTAAGGCTTAACCTACGACACCTAATGTGCTGGCTAAATAGGTCTTATGGATTAAGGAATACATTAACAGCATAAAGACCACATACAGTTTCTTTTATATTAATTTCACCTCCATTTGATGAGAGGAATAAAAAGTATGGAGAAAGATGAGTGGTGAGTGACGGGCGGAGACCTACCATTGTAAACTATTGGGGAAGAGTGATCGTGAACGTTGACATTTGGGTCTGACGCGCAGTTTGGTATATAAAGCGTGTGCCCCCACTCCTCCTGGCATTCAGCCCCAACTACAAGCCGCTAGCTTCATCATGAGGACTATTGTAGGTTCAGGAGCCTTGTGGGATAGCAGTGTTATGTGGTGTTTGCGTGGCAAAAATTTTATCTAATTCACTAATATATGAGATTTTTTTAAATGGGCGTAACTCTCCCAAAAGAAGGAAATATGTTTCACTGTTATTCAAAATGTCGAAATCACTTCGTGTTTTTTCTTCGGTTTCACACAAAATATTACATACATTACCTGAAACTTAACATATTGAAGGCTGCAATCTTCCAGATATAATGACATATTTAGTCACCTGACATTACACACTGACACTGCTTGTTAATGCTAATCCTTGCAGTTACAAAATTTAGTGCCGTTTTCGTTATATTATTCCCCTTCATTTCTAGAGTGAAATCTCACACGAATAATTTCAGAAATAAGTTGAGAAATAACAAGAGAGCATAAAGAGGACACCGTTTCATACAATTTTGTGTGATTCAGATGTTGTCTCTGCGTTAGGTTCCTTAAGTAGTAGGTTTCCTCAGCAGTGAGAGTTTCCCTCAGTAGGAGGTTGCATCAGTACTACAAGATGGTTAAGAAGAGTGGTTGCTTCCCCAGGCGTGTGTGCTTCTGGCAGTTGCCGGAATGACTGCTGCACAATCCCCGACTAGGGCTGATCCTGGTTTTGGTACCTCTGCTACTGCGTCTTCAACTCCCACTGCTACTACGTCTGTTGCAGGTAATGCACCTCCTCAGGCTCCTGGGAAGAACAACTATGGTCCACGTTTCTTTGGTCCCGGCATCACCAATCCTCTAGGGCGCCCCATTAACCCCATGGTGGTACAGCACGCCCAGAAAGTTCTCGCCATGCGCCCCGATCTCAAAGTGGTAAGTCCTGTGTGATCATTGAGTAACCAACAGTTTTCGATTCTTAACATCAATACTCAAGGATGAGCAGTAATTTTGATGCTACTTAGTCTACTATTTGTGTGTGTCTGCCTAGCTGGATATCAATATCTGTATTCCTTTCGGACGAATGATTAATACTTTCATTTTTGTTTTAATAATTTGCCTTTAACTCTTGAAGGAACACATATTAATAGACTCAATTTAAAGTTTCCTCGATAAATATAAAACGTATGTCTCCTGTGCACTTGCAGTACGTCGACTTCGATGGTCAGATGCATTTCACTAACCAATACGGCATTGAGGTTGACGAGATCCTTGATGAGTTCGGCCGCGATTTGAGCGAACTCTTGGATGTTCAGGAGCAGCAGGAGCGCCTCTTCCATGCCCAGCGCCAGCAGCAGGCTCCCTTCAATGCCCAAAACGAGCAGCAGGCTCCCTTCAATACCCAACACCAGCATCAGGTTTCCTTCAATGCCCAGTCCCAGCAGCAGGTTCCCTTTAATCCCCAGCCACAGCAGCAAGTTCCCTTTAATCCCCAGCCACAGCAGCAAGTTCCCTTTAATCCCCAGCCACAGCAGCCAGTACCCTTCACTGCCCAACACCAGCCACAGGCTCCTTTCAATATCCAGCACCAGGAGCAGTTCATTCAGAGGGCTCCCAACAGTGGTTCTGAGCAGGAGCTTGCCAGTGCTTTTCTCAACAAAGAATTTGAACGCCGTCACAAAATGCTGGAGCAACAGTTACTTCAGGAGTATCGGACCAATCCTGCAGCTTTTACCTCGCCTGTTCGAACAAATGGGGGTGGGCTGGACGGCAGAACTCAGACACAAGCAGGTCGGAGAGTTAGTGCGTAAAGTTTACTTAAACCCCTGACACCTGCCTCACTAGTGTTGTACCTTGTCCCCTAGGAGCATACTTCCTGTCTCCCTACCTCTCAAGGACTCTGATTGCCTAAGATACCTGATTCTTCCTATTCCTGAACTCCTCCCCTACCTACACCTTTCTCCCTCTTATCTTTGTGTTATTTTACCGCCAAGTCTTGCACTAACTCTCTCTACTACCGGATGCTACACCTGTCCTCGACACTACATGTCCCATACAATTATACAAGTAAACTTTAAGTCTGCTCAAATTCACTGTTACATTGGAATTTGTATTTTTCGTATTAAAAAATACATAAGATTTTTGTATTATTATCTTTTGATTAAAGTAAAAAAAAATATCTATGAGAGAGAGATGGGTCATAAAGAAAGCTTCTGTATATATTTTCGCTAAGATTTGAACAAAATTAGATTCAGTACCATACCATATACTTTAAACCTTGTACGTTACTGAATGTAGTAGCTAAACAGACATAATTCACACATATAGTAATGTTAACTATTAATAAACTTAAGTCTAGGTCAAGTTATTTTACATAGGTTTAGTTAGTTATGTACAAATTTGGGGGGTTTTTCTGCTCTAACGAATTAAAGATATTAATGCACACATTACAGAAAGTACTAATCAAAGTATGACCGCTATTATACATATCAAAAGTTTCAACTTGAATTTATTCGTATTATCAGAAGTGTATAAATACTTTTGTAATCGTAAATTGAGTGAGTCAGTAATGAAGGTGAGTTGCTGTACAAAGTGTGTGCTGGTTGGTTGGTGATATGGAGTGAAGAGAGCATTAGCTCTGAGGGTGCAAGAAGGGTACAGTATAAGTGCTCAAGAGTATAAGAAGGAGTACTTGAGTGTACTAGCTTGAGTTGTAATTTACAGTCTCGGAGGGTAGTTCTTAATACAGCCAAGGTGGATGGTGCCACACGTGAAGAAACAAAGCTTACTAGATTCGTATCTGAATCTTTCCAGATCGCAAAAAAAAATCGAGGTATGACAAAATTATATCCAATTGCAATTATTTTAAATTTAATCAATACAATTCTACAATGTGTTTAAAATATATCAAATATAACCGAAAATAATAGATAATCAAATGAAAATAGACACTCGGTATTCTGCACTACAAAAGAAAACGAAATCTATTCACTGGACGGTTTGAAACGAGACTAAACTAAAGTTCTATCTCAGTGTATCAAAGCAGAGACTTTACTTAATATGTAAACAAGTAGACCTGTTGAACTGTAGTAATAGTTTGGTGTAGTCTACTAACTAATTAATTTTAATTGTTGCTTCTACACTGCAGCAACTAAAAAAATATACATTTCTTTCGAAATAAAAGATGGAATATTCACGTTGCTTAGAGGTGCGAAATCGGCGATTCATGGGCCCAGGAGTGCCAAATTACTTAACAAACTAATTTCTAAAAGAACATTGCGTTTGGGAACTTCGTGTTTTCTTGTTTCCTTGTGGTTATCAGCATATACCTGGATCACGCTCACCTACAGTGATGGTCAGTTCAAAACTGATAATATGTTACATAAATATATTTGTCAGTGGCCCAAGGTTAAAAATGCTTTGAAAACCTTGGATCTAGATGTAGGATAGTTATTAGTGGGTCCCTTATTTTTGACCTGACCTGACTAGTCACGTCGCCCCCTTCTCTTCAGCTCCTCTACGTGTGTGTTGGTGTTGGTGTGGGGATTAGTGGATGACATCATTATGACCTGACCTCATGTTTAATAAGGTCACCCTGTATATTTAAGCCTCTCTCTGTCCATGTAATCCAGTTGCCTCTGAAGATGTCTTGAATAAAGACGAAGCTAAGGTGCTCCGTTGTTTCCCTTTTCCCGTGTGATTTTATCAAGATTTATCTTATCCACGTATATATATATATATATATATATATATATATATATATATATATATATATATATATATATATATTTTTAGCCCATATAACACGCTGATGGCGATGGACAGACAGGTACCCGCCGTCCAGTAAGGGTGGGGGCGGACTACTCCCTCCACCATGACTGTATCGATAACTTTCATCCGGGACTGTACTGTACATACACTTAGTTCCGAATGTACTCGAAGACCATTTGTACGTTGCGCACGTGTCTAATTATGTGTATGCAGGTGTCTGAGTGTTCGTTTGCGAGTGTCTGAATGTACTTTACGTGAACTAGTGTCTGACTACACACGTTCAAGTTTGAGTGTATATTTACGAGCATCTGAGGGTGCGTGTACAAGTGTGAGTGTATGTGTGCACATGTCTGAATGTACATATACGAGTGTCTGAGTGCACGTACAGGAGTACTGAAGTATATGAAAAGGTGCCTGAGTGTACCTAAAGAATTTTTACAGCGGGGGAGACGTATGCACCTTTATCTGCTATTCTTGTGTGACCTCTCGCTGTACCAGGTCAAGAAGGCGCCCGTCTGAATATCTGGTTCTGGTGATAATCTGAAAGGAGTTCCTTACATTATGTAACGTCAGGACATACAGTAGAAAGTTCTCACACAGAGAGGTAATACAATTATATATACATTACCTGATATACAAAAGCTTTGCTAATCAAATACAACAGCAATACAAACACATACAGGACAATAATTCCAACTCAGAGAGAGGTAATAGAACATAAATACATCAATTATTCTCTCTCAGTTACAAGTAAGCTGAAGCTCAAGTATAAGGTAGTCCACAGGTAAGGTAAAGGTATAACATGTCCACAACAGGTGGTGTAAGGCTATGTCCACAACAGGTGAGGTAAGGCAATAACATGTCCACAGCAGGTGAAGCAAAGGTATAACATGTCCACAACAGGTGAGGTAAAGGTATAACATGTCACAACAGGTGAGGTAAGGCAATAACATGTCACAGCAGGTGAAGTAAGTATAACATGTCACAACAGGTGGAAAAGGTATAACATGTCCAACAGGTGAAGTAAAGGTATAACATGTCACACAGGTGAAATTAAAGGTATAACATGTCACAACAGGTGAAGTAAAGGTATACATGTCACAACATAGGTGAATAAAATATCAACACAGGTGAATAAAAGTATAACATGTCACAACAGGTGATGGTATAACATATCACAACAGGTGAAGTAAGATAACATGTCACAGGTAAGGTATAACATGTCACAACAGGTGAAGTAAGGCAATAACATGTCTGTAGGTGAAGTAAAGGTATAACATGTACAACAACAATGAAGTAATATAACATATCCAGCCAGGTGAAGTAAAAGTTAACATGTCAACAGGTGAGCTAAAGGTATAACATGTCACAACAGGAGTGAAAGGTATAACATGTCCCAACAGGTAAGTAAAAGGTATACATGTCACAGAGTGAAGTAAAAACATGTCGCAATGATAAAAGGTATAACATGTCACACAGTGATAAAGGTATAAAATGTACAACAGGTGAAAGCAAAATTATCATGTCACAGCAGGTGAGGTAAAGTATATATCTACAACAGGTGAGTAAAGGTATATACCTACAAGGTGAGGTCAACATGTCACAGCAGGTGAAGTAAAGGTATAACATGCACAACAGGTGAAGTGGTATAAAATGTCACAGGTGAAGTAAAGGTATAACATGTCCACAGCAGGTGAAGTAAAGGTATAAAATGTCACAACAGGTGGAAAAGGTATAACATGTCACAGCAGGTGAAGTAAAGGTATAACATGTCACAACAGGTGAAGTAAAGGTATAACATGTCAGCAGGTGAGGTAAAGGTATGTCACAACAGGTGAAGTAAAAGGTATAACATGTCACAACAGGTGGAGTAAAGCAATAACATGCACAGCAGGTGGAAGTAAAGGTATAACATGTCCCAACAGGTGAAGTAAGGTATAACATGTACACAAGGTGGAGTAGGGTATAACATGTCACAACAGGTGGTAGGCAATAACATGTCCACACAGGTGGAGTAAAGGTATAACATGTCCCAACAGGTGAAGTAAGGTATACATGTCCAGCAGGTGAGGTAGGTATAACATGTCACAACAGGTGATAAAATAACATGTATCAGCAGGTGGGGTAAACGTTATGTCCAACAGGTGAGGTAAGGTAACATGTCACAGCAGGTGAGAAAGGTATAACATGTCAACAGGTGGAGGTAAGGATAACATGTCCAGGTGGAGTGGGGTCACATGTCACAGCAGGTGAGGTAAGGCATAACATGTCCACCAGGTGAGGTAGGCAATAACATGTCCCAGCAGGTGAGGTGGGAATAACATGTCCATAACAGGTGGAGGTAAGGCATGTCCACAGCAGGTGAGGTAAAGGTGACATGTTCACAGCAGGTGAGGAGGCAATATACATGTCACAGGTGATAAAGCATTAACATGTCACAGCAGGTGAGAAAGGTATATGTCACACAGCAGGGTAAAGAGGTATAACATGTCCCAACAGGTGAGGTAAAGGTATAACATGTCCACAGGTGAGAATAAGGTGTCTATGTCAGACAGGTGAGGTAAGGTATAAAATGTCACAGCAGGTGAGGAGTAAATGTATAACATGTCCACAGCAGGTGAGATAAGGTGTAACATGTCACAGCAGGTGAGGTAAAGGTCATGTCCACAACAGGTGAAAAGGTATAAAATGTCACAGGTGAGGTAAAAGGTGTAACATGTCCACAGCAGGTGAGGTAAGGTGTAACATGTCAGCAGGTGAGGTAAAGGTGTATGTCCACAGAGGTGAGGTAAAGGTGTAACATGTCCACCAGGTGAGGTAAAGGTGTCACATGTCACAACAGGTGAAGTAAAGGTGTAACATGTCACAGCAGGTGAGGTAAAGGTGTAACAATACAAGAGAGGTGAGGTAAAGGTGTAACATGTCACAGCAGGTGAGAGGAAATGTCCAACAGGTAGTAGGTGTAACATGTCACAGCAGTGAGGTAAGTGTAACATGTCCACAGGTGAGGTAAAGGTGTAACATGTCCACAGCAGGTGAGAAGACAGCATGTCCACAACAGGTGAGAGTAAAGGTGTCACATGTCACAACAGGTGAGATAAAGGTGTAACATGTCCTGAGGTAGAGGTAAGGTGTAACATGTCCTCAGCAGGTGAGGAGTAAGGTGTGTCTGTGGGTGAGGTAAGGCAAAAACATGTCACAACAGGTGAGGGTAAAGGTGTCACATGTTCACAGCAGGTGAGTAAAGGCAATAACATGTCACAACAGGTGAGGTAAAGGTGTCACATCACAGCAGGTGAGGTAAAGGCAATAACATGTCACAACAGGTGAGGTAAAGGTGTAACATGTCACAGCAGGTGAGGTAAAGGTGTCACATGTCACAGCAGGTGAGTTAAGGCAATAACATGTCACAGCAGGTGAGGTAAAGGTGTCACATGTCACAGCAGGTGAGGTAAAGGTGTCACATGTCACAGCAGGTGATAAGATAAAAATGTCACAGCAGGTGGGAAGGTGTCACATGTCACAACAGGTGAGGTAAAGGTATAAATGTCACAGCAGGTGAGGTAGCATAACATGTCACAACAGGTGAAGGCAATAACATGTCACAGCAGGTGAGGTAAAGGTATAACATGTCACAACAGGTGAGGCAGGCAATACATGTCCGCAGGTGAGGTAAAGCATTAACATGTCACAACAGGTGAGGTAAGGCAATAACATGTCACAGCAGGTGAGGTAAAGGTATAACATGTCACAACAGGTGAGGTAAGGCAATAACATGTCACAGCAGGTGAGGTAAGGTGTCACATGTCACAGCAGGTGAGGTAAAGATAACAATGTCCACAGCAGGTGAGGTAAAGGTATAACATGTCCATAACAGGTGAGGTAAGGCAATAACATGTCACAGCAGGTGAGGTAAAGGTGACACATGTCACAGCAGGTGAGGTAAGGCAATAACATGTCCACAGCAGGAGGGAGTAAGGCAATAAAATCACAGCAGGTGGTAAGGCAATAACATGTCACAGCAGGTGAGTGAAAGGCAATAACATGTCCACAGCAGGTGAGGTAAAGCAATAACATGTCCACAGCAGGTGAGGTAAAAGGTGTCACATGTCCACAACAGGTGAGGTAAAGGTATAACATGTCCACAACAGGTGAGGTAAAAGTATAACATGTCACACAGGTGGGAGTAAAAGGTATAACATGTCACAGCAGGTGAGGTAAGTGTACATGTCACATCAGGTGAGGTAAAGGTATAACATGTCCACAACAGGGGGAAGAAGTATAACATGTCACAGCAGGTGAGGTAAAGGTATAACATGTTCCACAGCAAGTGAGGTAAAAGTAATAACATGTTCACAACAGGTGAAGTTAAAAGGTTCATGTCACAACAGGTGAGAGTAAAGGTATAACATGTCCACAGCAGGTGAGGTAAAGGTGTCACATGTCCACAGCAGGTGAGGTAAAGCAATAACATGTCACAGCAGGTGAGGTAAAGGGTGACATGCAGCAGGTGAGAAAGGTATAACATGTCACAACAGGTGAGATGAAAGGTATAACATCACATCAGGTGAGGGAGTAAGGTATAACATGTCACAGCAGGTGAGGTTAAGGTATAACATGTCACAACAGGTGAGGTAAAGGTATAACATGTCCACAGCAGGTGAGGGTAAAGGTATAACATGTCACAACAGGTGAGGAGTAGGCAATAACATGTCCACAGCAGGTGAGGTAAAGGTATAACATGTCACAGCAGGTGAGGTAAAGGTGTAACATGTCCACAGCAGGTGAGGTAAAGGTGTCACATGTCACAGCAGGTGAGGTAAAGGTATAACATGTCACAGCAGGTGAGGTAAAGGTATAACATGTCACAGCAGGTGAAGTAAAGGTATAACATGTCCAAGGTGAGAGTAAGGTGTCACATGTCACAACAGGTGAGATGAAAAGCAACATGTCCACAGCAGGTGAGTAAAGGTGTCACATGTCACAACAGGTGAGGTAAAGGTATAACATGTCACAACAGGTGAGGTAAGGCAATAACATGTCCACAGGTGAGGTAAATAACATGTCACAGCAGGTGAGGTAAAGGTATAACATGTAGAGTGAGGTAAAGGTGTCACATGTCACAGCAGGTGAGGAGTAAGGTATAACATATGTCACAGCAGGTGAGGTAAGGCAATAACATGTCAGCAGGTGAGGTAAGGCAATAACATGTCCACAGCAGGTGAGGTAAAGCAATAACATGTCACAGCAGGTGAGGTAAGGTGTCACATGTCACAACAGGTGAGGTAAGGTATAACATGTCACAACAGGTGAGGTAAAGGTATAACATGTCCACAGCAGGTGAGGTAAAGGTGTCACATGTCCACAGCAGGTGAGGTAAGTGTCACATGTCCACAGCAGGTGGGGAGTAAAGGTATAACATGTCACAACAGGTGAGGTAAACATAATCCACAGCAGGTGGGGTAAGGTGTCACATGTCACAGCAGGTGAGGTAAAGCAATAACATGTCCACAGCAGGTGAAGTTAAAGGTGTCACATGTCCACAGCAGGTGAGGTAAAGGTATAACATGTCACAACAGGTGAGGTAAAGGTATAACATGTCCACATCAGGTGAGGTAAAGGTATAACATGTCACAGCAGGTGAGGTAAGGTATAACATGTCACAACAGGTGAGGTAAGGTATAACATGTCACAGCAGGTGAGGTAAAGGTATACATGTCCACAGGTGAGGTAAGGCAATAACATGT